TTTCCTCTCCTTCTGGAACCTCCAATTATATGTGTTTTTGACCTTTTGGCATTGTCATTCATACCCCTGATGTTCTGTTATTTTTCTCTCCCTCAATCTTCTTTCTTTCTCTTCTTCAAATTGGATAATTTCTATGCATCTATCTTCTAATTCATTGCCTCTTTCTTTCTTTTGTTATCATGATTTTGCTATTAGGTACATGTATTGAGTTTTTAAATTCAGATATAATTTTCTGTTCTAAAATATCCATTTGGTTCTTTTTGTAGGTTTTTTTTTCTATTGAGTTCCCCTATCTTTTAGCATTATGTGCATATAAACCAAAACAAACCAAGCATACTGCCATCGAGTTGGACTTGACTCATAGCAACCCCTCCTTGGCTTTCCGAGGTGGTATCTCTACGGAAGTAGATTGCCCAACCTTCCTTCCGAGGAGTGGCTGGTGGGTTTGAACCGCCAGCCTTCTGGTTAGCCATCACATACCTTAGGTGCTATGCCACCAGTGCTCCCTATGTGCATATAGCTACTTAAAATCTTTGTCTGATAATTTTAACTTCGGGTTGATCTTGGATTAATCTTTGTTGATGGTCTTTTTCATGAGTATGAATCACATTTTCCTATGTATTCATATGTAGAGTAGTTTTGTATTGTGTCCTGGACACTGTGATTGATACAGAGTCTTTGAACTCTGTTATGTTCCTGTAAAAGGTATGGCTTGTTTGTTTGAGCAGTTAGTTGGCTTGGCTGTACTCAGACTCCAAGCCTTGTCTTCTCCACAGTGGGTAGCAGCTGGATCTTCCTTAGTTCTTTTCATCTTAACTGACTGCTTGGGCTCTTCCATGCTCATGTGTCATTAAAATAGCCACCATAGATTCTACCAAAGTTTATACACAAACTTTTGGATCTCCCCCTCTGTGGCTCTTTCTTTTCAGGGATAGTCTCTCTCATTTTTCAGCTGCCGGTTATAACTTGTCCCCAATATCTCTACCTTTAGTCACTTTTCAATGCCTTTATGCAGCTGTATTCTTTATATTGCCCAGAATTTATAGTTGTTGTCTCAGCAGGGTTGTTTGGCTGGGAATTTAGTCTATTATAAAAGGAGCTCTGGTGGTGTAGTACCTAAGGCATTTGGTAACCAGAAGGTTGGTGGTTCAAACCCACCAGCCACTCTGTGGAAGGAAGATGGGGCAGTCTATTTCCATGAAGGTTTACCACTTCAGAAACCTAGAGGGGGTTGCTATGAGTTAGAATAGACTCAATGACAGTGAATTTGGTTTGAGTTTGGTTTTGGTTTAGGAGCTCTGGTGGTACAGTGCCTAAGGCATCTGATTACTAACCAGAAGACTGGAGGTTCAACCTCACCAGCCAGCCACTCCTCAGAAGGAAGATGGGGCAGTCTACTTCTGTAGAGATAACTACCTTGGAAACCTAAGAAAGGGTTGCTATCAGTTGCATTTGACTTGATGGCAGTGAGTTTGGTTTTTGGTTTTGGTTTGGTTGAGTCTATTACCAGAAGCAGAGCCTGATTTTATGATATATTTTGGAGAGGAAGGCAACATAATTTACTGATGAATTTGATGTAAGGGGTGCTAGTGGTAGGAGAATGAGCAAGAGAACAAAATCAATGATGATTACTCATTTTTTGAATGAAGCAAATGGGAGGATGGTCTTGCTCATTTTTGTGATAAAGATGACTGGAGGGAGAGTATGTTTTCCAGTGGTAGAAAGGCGGTGGGGTTCAAGAGTTTTATTTAGACATGTCAAATTTGAGATGCTTTTTTAGATATTCAACTGGGAACTTGAAATAGGCAGTTGGCTATTTAGACTCTGGAGCTCCGAGGGAGATGTGAGTTCTCAAGATCTACATTTAATCATCAGAATATACTTGTTATTTAAAGCCATGGAACTGAACAGCCTTACCTAATGAAAATGTAGCTAGTGCAACAGGAGTGCCCCAGCATCATACTCTGAGGCACTTCAGTGTTTAAAGGCCAAAAAGAGAAAGAACTACCAAAGGAGACTTCAAAAGAGAGGAGCAAGTATGGCAAACTGGAGAAGTCGATCATAGGTGTCCAGAGAGGAACGTTTCAAAGAGAGCAGGAACAGACCACTGAGTTCAGAGCTGCTGAAAAGCTAGTGAAGCCAAGGACAAAAGAGACAGCATTGGATCCGGCAAAGTGGAAGCCATTAGTGACTTTAGCTGACCATCTCACTGGAGCGGTGCTGGAACAGATAGGAAACAAGGAAGTAGAGACCACGACAGATGTGCCCCAGGATGCATGCTCTTGGAGATTGAATCTTTAGGCAACATGTTTCAGCTGTCCACTTTGGATCCACCAAAGCACAAAGGGATTGCATTGTCAATGAACGTTTATCATTGATGAAAATATTTCCATCCTGCTCTCTAGGGAAGGCTTGTCACCTTGAACTCAGACCTCCGCCCGCTCAAGTTAGCTGGCAACCTACCTGCCAGAATCAAAGATAGCCTTTGAGAAGTATGTACTGTGATGAAGGAGCCCTGATGGTGCAATGGTTCGAACGCTCAGCTGCTAAGAGCAGCTCTGTGGGAGATAAGACCTGGCAGTCTGCTCTCTTAAAGATTATGGCCTGGGAAGCCCTATGGGGCAGTTCTCCTTAGTCTCATGAAGTCTCTATGAGTTGGAATCGAGTCAGTGGCACACAGTAACACAACAACATAAGAACATCCTGTATGGAGCTTATTAATAATGGGCTGCATGTTGCTGATAATAAAAAATGAAGTATGATTTATACCTACAGATACTGCCTGTTAAGAGCTAATCTTTCTGTTGGCCGAGTTTGAGAATTTATAAGCCTCAAGGCTCTTGGGAAAGCCGGAGTTGTAATTCAGGTATCATTTGCCCCAGAAACTAGAATTTTTATATAGTAGGATGCTGACAGTTCACAGAAACTCTCACAGAACCAGGATTTGCCTAAACAGGTGTCAGCTTACTTTGTCTGCTATAATTGTCATTAGCACCCCTGGAACATAGACTTACATCTCATGACACTTGTTTTCAAGGGCCATGATTCCATCAAGACTAATTTTTTTTAATGGCGTGTTCGAGGAAGAAACCCTTACCCCTGGTTTAGTCTGCTTGTTGATCCCTGTCTTCTGGCATTCACCCTTGACCTTTGTGTTAGATTTTGTTTTCTGTTCCAAAAAAAGTCCAGTCTAAGACCTGGCAGTAACAGAAGTGTGAATTTCAGCCACCACGGTGCAGCACTGGCATTCTTCCCAGACAAATGAGATGATACCAGTAATTTCTCTCTCGGTGTGCAAACGACCTAGCCTTCCTCCTGCTCCCACATGCTCTTTATAAGGAATTCTTATAGAATTTACGGATTTTTAATTCAGAACAGTTGAACCCAGACTATCAAGGAAAAAGGTCATTTTTATTTCAGTGCTGTTTATACTGTGCTGCACAGAAGTTAGCCCCACCTTTTATTGTACCAGGATAAAGAGCATTCAGGTATTGTGAAAGTCGATATAAGAAGTAGCTGTCTGAGGGAAACATGGGTTCCGGGGTGGTGCAAAAGGTTAACGTGCTTGGCTGCTAACCGAAGGACTGTAGGTTCAAGTACCCCTAGGGCGCCCTCAGAAGACGGGCCTGGAGAGCTGTTTCTGAAAAACCAGCTGTTGAACACTGTGTTCTGACCCCTGTGGGGTTGCAATGGTCAGAATCCACTCATAAACAACTGGTTTATTTGATATTTTTTCCAAAAATGAGTGATGTATTTTATTCAGTCATTGTATCGGAGATCTTTGCTACAGTCTTCCTGTTAGCTGCCGGCGCTGTTAGCTGCCCTGGAGTTGTTGAGTCAATTCTGACTCATGGCAACCCCACACGTGCAGAATAGAACTGAGTTTCATAGCGTTTCCAGGGCTGTGACCTTTGGAAGCAGATTACCACTCTGCCAACCTTTTGAGTAGAAGTTGAGCACTGAACTGTTTGTACCACCCAAAGGCCCCTCCTCTTAGCTCCTTATTTCATATGTGTTTTAATTCCTTTTCTTGACCTTTGGATTAAAGGTATTTCTGTCAAGAAGTGAAGATCCAGGCCTTTCTCTTTTCAGGTTATGAAGCAGTTATGACCGTTTCTACATAGAGATAATATAAAGCACCTTTTAGTATTTGGCCTGTCTTAACAGCAGTCTAAGGAGCTCTGGTGGCATAGTGGGTAAGGCATTTGGCTGCTAACCAGAGGGTTGGTTGTTCAAACCCACCAGCTGCTCCACAGGAGGAAGATGAGGCAGTCTACTTCCATAAAGATTCACAGCCTTGGAAACCCAATGGGGGTCACTATGAGTCAGAATCAACTCAATGGCAATGGGTTTGTTTTTTTGGTTCATAGCCAGGTTACACCCCCTAAGAATAACAAAATATACCATTTCAAGTAATCTTTCGATTAATATTTTCATAGAACATATCAAGTTCCAACTTGAAAAACCAGTATTCTTATTTATGAATTAATCCCTCTCTAAAATATTTGTTTGCTTTGGTAGATAACAAAGAAAAACTCTCTGCAGGAATCCTGATGCTATTTTCCCCCCTCCCGTTAATCTTGTGGTTCTGCAGTTGAGTGAGGACAATCTCCATCATAATTCTTAGAACCGAATTAAAGCGGAATTTAAATTATGTGTGCTTTGGAGAGGAGAATTGGCAAAGATGAATGGTTCATGGCTCACATATTATTGTAAGATAATTATAACCATGGCAGTATTTGTTTCCTAACATTGTGTTTCTGCGTTTTAGCGATGAGGTACATCATAGGAAAAAGCCCATTTGTGTGTTTCCCGTTGAATCTAAATGATTCCAACTTCATTATCCCAACATTAGGAGTAGTTGTTTCCTGTGGAACAGTCGACTGCATAATTTGCTTTATCTCTTTTGGAAGTGGCTTCTGCCTGGGCTAGTAATAGCTTCTAATAAAGTAAGTTCAGAGGTAGACTTGCCTAACCTCGATCACTTTTGAAAAATACAGATCAAAGAGTACGAAAAGCTTGACAATGAGGAAGAGCGTCTGTGTCGAAGTCGACAAATCTATGACACCTACATCATGAAGGAGCTCCTCTCTTGTTCACATGTAAGTACTTCTTTTTGTCCTGTGACTTCAGTACCTCATGGAGGTGGCTTTAAATGTTTCCAGTATGAAAATAAAACAGCGGGTGGGTATTAAAAAAATGTAAAAATTACTCCTCCAGGATGGAACCCGTGTCTTCTGTTTCGTCATTTGTTTTCTGACGGCACTGACACAGTATCTATTGCTTCATTTACTCTTAGGACGCGTCCAACAGCTGCTGCTTTCATTGCAAAAACTGATGAAATAAAATAGCTAATTTGGCCAATTGAAGAAATGTTAGTCTCAATTACAGCTATTTGTAAAAGAGCTTGAGCTCTTTTTTTCTCGTTTACCTGTACTTCAATAATGAGACTAAATCAAGTCTTGCTAAGTACAAATCTAAAGTGGCTTCTTTGAATTGATAAGGATTGTAATTACTGTGTTAGTTTTGTTTGTTAATCATTAACTAAGATACTTGACATACATGTATTTTTCTTGTAAATCAGATTAACATTTAATCGTTAGGATAAACTAAGTTCCTAGGAAATTATTCCACCAGGAATGAGTACATAATTAGTGGTGATAACTGACCACATGATGGCTCCACGCTGAGACTGTCACTGAAAGGAGTAGACTAACTGTCCTGACCAGTACTGTCCAGTACATGTGGCTATGGAAGTGCAAGTTTAAATTAATTTTAAAATATTAAATGGAGCTAAGATTTTAATTTCTCAGTTCCTGTGAGTCACATTCCAAGTCTCATTTCAAGGGCACCGTGGCCACATGTGGCTAGTGGCTCCTTTGTTGGACAGCCCAGATACAGAATGTTTCTACCCTCGCAGGAAGTGCTATAGGCTACCACTGGCCATGATGAAGATGTAGGTTAGTGCTTCTGTAAACCAAGAGTTCCTGGGAGAAGCCATGGAGTGTTGCATGTGAACAGTGCTGTAATCCATGTTCAGATTCTTGTCTTGATTGTGTTGTTTGTTGTTCTTACTGGCGTTTGAATGACAGTGGCCAACAAAGATCTCTCCTATAGCTACATTGTTTCATTGTTGGACCCACCTCACTTGTACTAGAAAGAATTTCTGAGCTAGAGCTAATCAGTGATGCTGTATGCCTTGCTACATTTCTAGGGACTGGTAAACCCTTGGAGGATGCCATATATTTGATGGGGAAGCCCCCGTAAAGTTGATTTTCTTGTAGCTCAGTAATCCATAGGTTTGTTCGCAGGATGGTGTGGTTTTTCAGCTTTTCTTTCTTTCTTTTTTAAAAAAATTTTTATTGTGATTTGGGTGAAATTTTGCAAAGCAGATTCGTTTTGCATTCAATAGTCCATACACTCATTGTGGTTTGTGATATTGGTTACATTCCCTGCACTGTAACATCTCACTTCCCGCTTCCTCCCTGTGGTCACCCTTTCCCTGTGTCCTTCTTGCCTGTGCATTGCTGACCTCCCGACCTTTCTCCCTGTGCAAAGGCTGTCCTTCTGAGCTCCTGTGGTTGACTGTTCTAGGGCAAGTATCTCCATGGTGTAGGTGTTCAGCTCATAGTCCTGTCTGTTGTTTGGCTGAGAGTTAAGCTAAGGGAGTGAGTTCAATTGCAGATCAGTAAGCCTAGTCTTTTTTTTTTTTTTTAATGATTTTGAGTTTTGTTTCACAGTTTTCTCCTACTCTATTCAAGATCTCCAATTTTGATCTGTTTCTGAGTTGTTGGCACGGGTAGCTGGGCACCATCTAGTTCTTCTGGTCTCAGGATTATGTAGGTTGAGGTTATCATGGTCAATTAGCCCTTTGGAATGTTTCCATGTATCTTTGATTTTCTTTACTCTTGCTCCAGATGAGTGAAGAGCCACTTGGATGACTGTTCATAAGCTTTTAAGACCCCAGTCACTACGCAGTGAAGCAAGATGTAGAACAATATTTTTGTATACCATGTTGTGCCAGTTGAGCTGATGTCCCCCACAACCATGGTCTCTAGAGAGATGGCCTCAGGCCCAGTGACCCACTTCCTTGAGGTACTTATTTGTGGCTAAGAAGTTATCCTAACGCTACCTCCTGTTATTGTATGTTACTTTTATAGTAAGACGTCATGGTCTGAAGTTTCTTTAGGAGGATATAGGTTGTAATTCTTGTCAGTGGAGGTGCCATTCTTCCTTTCGAACCAGTTCCCCTCTGCTCTGGTTACAGCAAGCCTTTGCCTACCCTAGATGGACCTTTTACCACTCCAGCTTGGCTTTGCATTCCTGACCTGCCATTCTTAAGTATATTTTATTACATGCAGTATAAATTTTACATTTTTAGGGCCCCGTTATCAACTAATTGAAGAATGCAAACATTTAATGAGCTGAAAGTAAGGTTCTTGTGCCCTGGTGACACAATGGTTAAATACTGGGCTGATAACCAAAAGGTTGGGGTTTTGAACCACCCAGAGGCTCTGTCAGAGAAAGACCTGGTGATCTGCTTCTGTGAAGATTAAACCCCAAAAACAAAACTCACTGCCAGCAAGTCGATTCCGACTCGTAGCAACCCCCATTGGCTTTCCAAGGGTGTAAATCTTTACAGAAGCAGACCACCTCATCTTTCTTGCCTGGAGCAGCTGACGGGTTCAAACCACTGACCTTTCGGTTAGCAGCCAGATGTCTTAACCATTATACCACCAAAGTGCCCTTCCCTGAAGATTACAACCTAAAAACCCCATGGAGCAGTGCTACTCTGTCACATGGGGTCACTGTAAATTGAAAATTGACTTGATGGCAGACAGCAACAAGAAGAAGCTTCTTTACACTGCATTATTGTAGGACTCTTGTGGGATTAGATGTGTCTGCCAGCTGCACCCACGCTGATCACCCTTCTGGGCCTGTTGTCTCAGAAGTCTGGAAGCCCAGAGGGACAAGCATTTGTCTGGATTCTTATAAACATCCAACTGATCTTTAAAAAATTCATATTACTGTACTATGGATAAGGAGCTCTGTTGGCATTGTGGTTAAATCATTGGACTACTAACCAGAAGGTAGGTGGTTTGAACCCACCAGCTGCTCCATGGGAGGAAGATGAGGCAATCTACTTTTGTTAAGATTTGCAGCTTTGGAAACCCAATAAGGGTCACTGTAAGTCAGAATTGACTCTGTGGCTGTGGGTTTGCTTTTGAGTACCATAGGCAGTGTTCAGCGAATGTGTGTTGCATTACCTGTTGTCGTCGTGGACAGCATGCAGAGGTTTGTTAAGTTTTATTGTCATTTTCTTTGTGTGAAAAATAATACTGTTTTTGATTCTTAAAAGCCATTCTCAAAGCAAGCCGTAGAACACGTACAAAGTCATCTAGCCAAGAAGCAAGTGCCATCAACTCTTTTTCAGGTAAGATAAAGTTATTTCAAAATACGTGACGTTTGCCTCATTGTTGGGCTTGGGGACCTGCTTTGTGGAGCTGTGATTATGCTGGAAGGACCAGTTTGTCAGTCTGTATTCTGGTGCCTTTGCTGGAACGATTGAGCTTTTCTATTGCTTGTCTTTTAATTGAAGTGCATTTGTATGACGAACACCCATAGTGAAGGTTTTCCCTGAAAAAGATGACTAGCATTTTCTAGAGGATTATTTTGTATAAATCAGTCAAGATAAGAAATAGAGGGAGAATGTTTTTTTTTCCATCTGCAGGTGATACAGTCTGATACTCTGGGTACCTGTGATGAGCAGAGACTTGACAAAGACTTACATGATGAGAAAGAACAGGCTATTTGTGGCGACTTATACTGTTCATGCATGTTTGCCACAGGGGTGTTGTTTTGGTCAGTATGGCCTTGTAGGTGTTCAGTTTGTCATTGTCCTACTTAAGCTGGTGTTTTATTTATTTAGTTAGTTAGTTTTCTAAATGCCAGGGCTAGTGATTCTTGCGGTGAATATGCTTTGACTGAAGTGAGATTCATTTTTAAGAACCTGGAGTCACGGCTGAGGAATTAGGTTTTAGCTTGACTGTTTGTACCTTGAGGAGCCCTGGTGGTGTAGTAGCTAAATCACTCAGCTGCCAACCAAAAGGTTGGTGGTTCGAACCCACCAGCCACTCTTGGGAGGGAAGAAAGATGTGGCAATCTGCTCCTGTAGAGATTAGAGCCTGTGAAACCCTGTGGGGCAGTTCTGCTCTGTCCTATAGCATCACTATGAGTCAGAATCGACTTGATGGCACTGGGTTGTTTTGTGTTATTTTACCTTGAACGAAATACAGTCATATGGATTTAAATTACAAGGCTTGTAAAACTAAATTCACAATTGTAAGGCTTATGTACTTAATAAGGAACTCTGGTGGCATAGTGCCTAAGGCATTTGACTGCTAACCAGAAGGCTGGCAGTTCAAACCCACCGGCCACTGCTCAGAAGGAAGACTGGGCAAACTACTTCTGTAGAGATAGCTCCTCGGAAACCTAAGGAGGGGTCGCTATGAGTTGGAAATGACTCAATGGCAGTGAGTTAGTTTTTTTTTTTTTTTTTTTTAATGTACTTAATAGAAGTTCTGGTGGTATACTAGTTAAGATGTTTGGCTGCTAACCAAAGGTCAGTGGTTCAAACCCACCAGGTGCTCCACAGAAGATGAGGCAGCCTGCTCCCTCAAGATTTATGGCTTTGGAAACCCAGTGTTGAGGGGGGGTTGGTCACTATGCTCAGAATCAACTCAATGGCGGTGACTCTGAGAATTTGGTATGTACCTAATATTCTTTAGTATTAATCGTTTCTCTTCTTCCTAAGTCATTTCCATCCTGTGTGTTTTCTATAGAGATGGCAGTGCCTTGGAAGGACACAGTCCAAATTCCTACTGGATAATGTACTTTTTATAGTTTCTATGAATTAGGAGAAATACGAAAGATTGCCATTAAGTAATGTAACAGTATGGAACCCTGATGGAGCAGTGGTTAAGCACTTGGCTGCTATCCAGAAGGTCAGTGGTTCAAACCCACCAGCTGCTCCATGAGAGAAAGATGTCACAGTCTGTATCTGTGAAGATTACAGCCTTGGAAACCCTATGGGGGCAGTTCTACTCTGTCCTGTAGAGATACTATGAGTCAGAATTGACTCTTCCAGGTGGGGACACAAAGATCAGCAAGATCCGTTTCTTGTCTTCAGGGAACAATACATCTAAAAATTATTTCTTCAGGGTATCTTTTAACAATAAACACTGTACTGATTCATTTTGCTCATTAAAACATGAATGCCTGGTATTCATCCTTCAAAGGTAAAGGAATAGTGATTATGAAGTTGAATAAAGTGAGGACTCAGCTTAACATGGGCCACAGAGGGCAGTGAGGAAGTAGAGGGAGAAGTTCTATGAGTTCTATAAGCACTTATGAATGATGGGTTAGTATAAACATTATGCTAACCATGAAGTCAGTTAAAGTTCTTTGAGTAGAAATTCCTTCTGAAAGAGAAGACAGTAAAACAAAAATACTCTAAAAATAAATGCAGAATGCCTTTTTATTCTATTTCCTTGTTTAAGAAGTTATAAAATTGACTGTAGAAATAAATAACTTTGTGGCATATATATTTGGTTGAGGGGGTTGGGAAGAGCCAGCTTGTGGTTGGGTGCCTGTAATGTGTCAGGCACTGTGCTCAGCTTTGGACATTCTTGATGTTATTAAATTCTCATGACAGCTTTGCAAAGTAGATGTGGTTATTCCATTTTATAGATTAAGGGAACCAAGACTGCTGATAGCCTAAGCTGTTTGCTCATGATCACCATGTTGACCTCTGGCTTTTGCATTGCTTACCCAACATATTTTGTGGTACTTTCTAAGGCATTTGGCTGCTAACCAGAAGGGTGGTGGTTCAAATCCATCAGCCACTCCATGGAAGCAAGACTGGGCTATCTATTTCAGTAAAGATTTACCACCTTGGAAACGCGATGGGGGTTGCTATGAGTTGGAATCAACTTACTGGCAGTGGTTTTTTTTTTTTTTTTCTGTTGAAAAGTGGTAATGTGGTATGTGTATTATTATACACAAGGAGCCCTGGTGGCACAGTGAGTAAGCCCTCAACTGCTAACCAAAAGGTCAGCCGTTTGAACCCACCAGCCACTCCATGGGAGAAAGTCTACTTCCATAACGACTACAACCTTGGGGCAGTGCTGCTCTGTCCTAAAGGGTCACTATCAGTTGGAATTGAGTCAGTGGCAACTCTTCTTTTTTTTCCAATGTTATGTACAGTTATAAGAATGTCTAGTAACTTTTGCTTTGACTTTTAATTGTATTAGCAGAATGTGTGGAATGTTTGATAAAATGTTGTTGTTGTTGTTGTTGTTATTATCTGTCAAGTCAGACCTCACTTGGGTTTCTGAGGCAGTATCACTACGGAAGTAGATTGCCCAACCTTCCTTCTGAGGAGTGACTGGTGGGTTTGAACCGCCAGCCTTCTGGTTAGCAGTCAAGTGTCTTAGGAACTACACTACCAGAGCTCCTTTGATAAAATAGGAAAGAAAAATAATAATTAACGTAATAACCCACCCACTGCCATCAAGTTGATCCCAACTCATAGTGACCCCCATTGGGTTTCCAAGGCTGTACATCTTTGTGGAAGTAGATTGCCTCATTGTCCTCCCATGGAGCAACTGGTGGGATTGAACCACTGAACTTCTGGTTAGCAGCCAAATATCTTAACTCACTATGTCACCAAAACAAAATGCCACCAGATCTCCTTAATTAACATAATAGTTTTTGTAATTAGAAAATTCATGATACAGAAATTTAGCCTTTTCTTAGATCGTTGAACACTTCATGTATTTTTGCCTTTTGAGGTTTTTTGAGTGTCTTGAGATTTGTGGCCCTTGGTCTTCTGCATCTAGAGAACTTGGCTAAAAAAACCTCACAGCCATCGAGTCATTTCTGACTCATAGTGACCCCCATTAGGTTTCCGAGGCTGTACATCTTTACAGAAGTAGATTGCCCTATATTACTTCTGTGGAGCAGCTGGTAGGTTTGAACTGCTGACTTTCCAGTTAGCAGTTAAGTGCCTTGTCCACTATAAGCTCCGTTATCCACCAGAGCTCCCTGTTTGTAGTTAGAACCTTATAGCCATGGACTCATAGAATCTCCAAGTTGGAAAGAATGTCAGAGAGATAATTTAGGTTCACCTTTTATTGGTGAGGGAATGAAGTCCAGATGGTTCTAGTGAGTAGTCCCAGGGCCTTGCCTAGGAAAGGGATGCCCTGTCAAGCAGCAGAGATTGGCTTTGCCCCAAGTCTTCCTACTGCCAGGCCTGTGTCCTTTCTATTAGAGGAAGTGTTGTCTTCCAGAAGACCTGTGGGTGCTCTATGGCATTGGTTTGGTGACTGTGGCTTTCTGCAAACTTCTTACTCTTGTCACTTGGTTGAGACTGTTCTGTGATCTGGACTTTTCTCTTGCAAACTTTAGAATGATCTGTGAGGATACAGGAATGGTTAAATTTGCAACATTCAGCAAGTTTAGGGTATTATGATGTCTTGCAAAAATATCTAATTGACCACAGGCTCAATTCTGAAATGTTGGCATGTTTTGTTTTTTATCATTCTTGATTCAAATCTCATCACTTGGAAAGTAAGGTTTATAATGTTCAGTAATGAGTAAAGTGGCATGAAATTTGAGTAGGTTGCATGAGGTTTACACAAGTAAGCCAGGTGACCTAGCTTTAAGCCTGGCTTAGCCACTACCATGTCCAGAATCCTTGGGCAAGCACCACCTATAATACCCCACCTCCTTATGGGTAAGGTGAGGAGGTGGCATTCATGCCCCATGGCTCTCTTTAGCTCTAGGATTTGAAGCAATAATAATAATAATAAAACAATAAATGAAATACTTAATTAAAAAAATTTACTCCATAGATCCATTAACTTTTAGGTTTTAAAACTCAACATTAATGCCAATTTTAAATGCTTGCAATCATTTACGATATTGGTCGTATAATTTTTTGGGCCAAGGATAAAATGAAAAATTGGGGCCCTTGTTCAAGAACTATTATGAAGTTCAGGATGTCAACAGCATTAAGCCAAGCGTGGATTCCTCTAAGGGTGGGCCCTGTGGGACTTCACCAGTTGCACACACATGTGCCAGCCTTGGTCATTTAAGAAGTGTCTGTGCCTTGCTGGGGACTGTGCTGGGCAGTGGAGATCCAGGGACAAACAAGAAAGACCCACCCCTGCCTTCATGGAATGTACAACTGAGTGTTAGAAAACCATTATACAAATAGTGGGGATGATCAATCCATTTGTGAAAATTGTGACAAGTGCCAGGAAGGAAAAGTACAAGATGCTCAGGGAGTATATAATTGGCTACCCCATCTAGTTTGACCTTCTCTTAGTTTGTTATTTTTACTTTTGTATGTTCTTGTTCATATGGTTTGGAATTTCTGCCACCCCCCCCCCCTTTCTAGCCATATATAGAAGAGATCTGTGAAAGTCTTCGAGGCAACATTTTTCAAAAATTTATGGAAAGGTATGAACTTTTATATGTAAAATCTTATATTGTGTAAATATATGTACCTCATTTTACTCAATAAGTGTTGTCCTTAAAATGTATGTTAATTTATTCATTCAGCAAGTGTTTCAAGTATTTCATGACATGTACTATGTGTCATGCTTTGTGTTGGACTAGTCCTTCATACTTTACTCAGTACTTTACATTATAACTTTAGGGCTTGCTTATCTTAATATCTTTTTGACCTTTAGAGTGGTCTAAAATGTAAATCATCTGGAGAACCTTGGTATTAAAATATCTCTTGGGAAACCTTTTCTAATGAAAATGTGACTCTGAAATTGATCTGATTCATTTGTTTGGATTTTGAAATCATACCCCGCCCCCCCCAAAATGGGACAAGCTTCCACTTGATTCTTTACACAGTAATAGAATTTAAGGGCTCAGGCAAATGTCATTTTGTAGTCATATATATTATTAATACACATTATTAGTTAGTAACGTAAAGTAAATATAGTCCTTTATGTTATTTAAAGTATAGAGCATATTTGTCCTATTAAATTCTGAAACTTCTCAGTTCAGCTAATAAGTTTTTTAGGCACCTAACAGTGGGTAGCATAGTGGCTAAGGCACTTGGCTGCTAACCAGAAGGCTGGCGGTTCAAACCCACCAGTCACTCCTCGGAAGGAAGATGGGGCAATCTACTTCCATAGTGATACTGCCTTGGAAACCCAAGGAGGGGTCGCTATGAGTCGGGGCCGACTCGATGGCAAATAACAACAACAACAGTAGTCAGTTCATCAGTATTTTGAGAGGTGCCTGTGTGATAATGCATCATTGCAGTTGGACGTTCGCAAGCGGGATCTGCATTCACACTGACCTTCCTTTTCTCTATAAACTCAGTTAATTTCTAGACAAAGGGCACGATGATTGTGTCTCATTACTGAGCAGTGTGCAGCTGCTCAGTAATTGCCCTTGAAGAACAAATGCCTTTTTACTGCACTTTTCTTCTCCACATCTTCACAGAACCAAAGTAATTTTCTTTCTTTCTTTTTTTTTAAATTGCATTGTGATTCTACTAGTGTTCAAGAGATAATTTTGTCCAAGAGTAGAGTCAGTAGTTTGGGAAACTATTATTCATTTAAATGATTACACTTTTCTGAGTAGTAGCAGAAACCTGGCCAAAAAGTAACAGACTCAAACCTAGGAGCTGGGCTGCTGGCTCAGGGCTGAGTTAGAGCTGAGTGCTGGGTGGTCACCGTTGCTGTTGTACCTAGTGCCTTACATTTCCCACATCTTGGGTCGACCTAGCTCTTATGTGATCCTGGAGGAGGTGTCCCTGGGTGGTACAAATGGTTAATGCTCTTGGCTGATAACTGAAAGGTTGGAGGCTCAAGTCCACCCAGAGGCACCTTGGAAGAAAGGCCTTGGAGATCTGCTTGAGAAAGGTCGTGGCCTTGAAAACCCTGTGGTGCACAGTTCTGCTGTAACACATGGGTCACCATGAGTCGGAATCTATTTGACAGCAACTAACAGCAATAATAAGCCATATGTAGCTGCTGACAGTTGGCATGTGAATAGCCCGAATGGAGGTGTTTGCTGGAAGTGCAGAATACACACCAAATTTCCAAGACCAAAGACTTCATATGAAACCAAAAACGTAGACTATCTATCGCATTGTTGTTGTTATGTGCCGTCGAGTCTGACCTGACTCATAGCGATCCCTCCTTGGGTTTCCGAGACAGTATCACTATGGAAGTAGATTGCCCCATCTTCCTTCTGAGGAGTGACTGGTGGGTTTGAACCACCAGCCTTCTGGTTAGCAGTCAGGTGCCCTAGGCACTAATTTTATACTGATTGCATGTTGACATGATCATTTTCTGATATATTGGTTTAACTAAAATACATTATTAAAATTAAATTATATTCATGGCTCTTGTTATCTTTCTGTGGGTCACTGCTGGCTCTGATAAATGGTGACCACAGCATGTGACAATTAAAGGAGTGACAGGAAATCTTTCATTTGAGTCGTGAAATAAATCCTTGAATTCTGATGAATGGCTTTTGAAAAACCTTATAGAAAACTTACTTTGTTTGAGAATCAAAAGTAGTACAATTCCGTGTTATCTTATAACATCACTCTATAAATCCAGTTAATGTGGTGTTTAACTTTACAATCATTATTACTATTCTTTTTCAGTGACAAGTTCACTAGATTTTGTCAGTGGAAAAATGTAGAACTAAATATCCATGTAAGTATCATCTTTTTTTTTTTTTTAAATAAAAACTTCCTCTGGCTTCACCTCGTGAGAAAATTCTTTAGTCTGCCGAGTGGTCCCAAGGGATAGCACCCTGTTGAAACAGATATCTTTCCTGCAGCCATCTGCATTACAAGTCCCTCCCCCTACACCCGATTATAAACCATTTCACTTTAAATTCTCTGTTGTCATATTCATGTAGGGATGTGTTTATTGATTGAAGAAAGGCCATGTTAAGCAGCAATTGACTCTTTAATAGAAATCGTAGGAAAAATACAAGTCATCCACTGAAGATAACTCCCATATGTTCTTGTGTTTGGCCATCCCGGTAAACTTCCTTTTCTTTTTCTTGTTGTTAGTTGGAAGCCATACAACAAACATGATGGCATTTCTTACTAAACCAAGGTTGCTGCTGCTTTTATATTATTCTGAGAAGGAAAAAAGCTGCCCCCCAACATGCATTTCCTTAGCATGTCATCTGCTCTTAGCCTCCACTGTCAGCCATCTGAGGGCATAAACCTTATACGTAGAGGACACATTTTTTTTTCAGACTCTGTGACATTCTTTTCCCCATTCTCTCAGGCTTGCAATGGGGCCAAAGAAATACTCTTTAGTCTTTGCCAAATAGTCAGTCTTTTACTTGAACCCTACTCTTAGGAGTCTTTTTACCTCCTTTTTTCCTGGCAGGATTTAGAGGAAACAAACACACTTTTTTTTTTTTTTTTTTTAAATTTCTTCATCTCTGTTCAGGACCTTTCATATGCTTCTTTGTGAGATCTCGTCCTGGTCGACTGTGGAACACAGAGTGAAGCCTGCGGACCCATTGTGTGCTAGCTGGCCATGGACATGGCATTTCAAGGGCTATTTGTGGGGTGGGGAAAGAACCCCTAAAGCATCTGACCCTTCATTCACCAGGATACATAAACTAATGGGCGTTTGCTATTGCCCAGCGTCCTCTAACCTTGTAAGAAAGATTGACTTTCTGCCTTTGTACCCTTTAACGTTATTAAAATGACTTAAAAAACTGGGGCATGACTGAGATACTATTGACAAAAGGAAAACGCTTAGGAATAAAGCCTCTTTCCCTCCTTTACTCACATGGCTCCTGCTTCGTGCTCCCATGGCCGGCATGAGCCCTCCCCATCCACTGATGTTATAGATGAGACATTCACACGCTCAGCATCTGCCCAGGTGCCTGACCCCACGGCCCACATTATGCAAATATAGATGCCCTGGGCGTAGGCTCATACTTTCTACCACGACAGTTCCTGGAGCTATTGGCTTATTACCAACCTTTAGGCTTCCGAGGAGCTGAGGCTGCTTTTCGTTTTTGGTTAGAAATGTCCCACTAGTTTGCCTTCCAGGTATCCAGCTAATAATCTTAGCTCTCTGAGGCTGGGGAGATCACCTCACTTGGTCCCCCTCTGTCTTCTGCCCCCTTTCCTCTACTTGGTGCCTCATTTACCTTCGAGGTAGAGCAGAAGGTGATAGAAAGTCCTGCCACCTTATTCTTTCAGCCTGAGGAACGAGTCTGGGCTAACCCAGAGGCCAAGGGTTCAAACTCACCAGGCACTCTGCAGGAGAAAGATGTGGCCATCTGCTTCCGTGAAGATTCACAGGAAGGTAGATCCCTGCCTCAGAGTTGCTATTTTAATAAGTGTATGTATTTGGCGTGAAACCAAAAACACTTCTAAAAACGTAACTGTAATCCAGTGCTACCTTATCCTGTTGCCTTTTGCATTCACAGTTGACCATGAACGACTTCAGTGTTCATAGGATTATTGGACGAGGAGGATTTGGTGAAGTGTATGGTTGCAGGAAAGCAGACACTGGAAAAATGTAAGCTTTCTATGCTGATTTTTTTTTTTTTTTTTTACTGGAAGTACTAAGAGGATTTTAGATTAATACCGAAAGAAAATCCCTGCGAAGAAATACGGAAGCCTGTGATCTCACTCTTGATGTAATTTACCTCAGAAAGAAACAGGAGGGTGTATTTTGTTAGAGGAGTCCCTGCTTGATGTGAATGGTTAAGCGCTGGCCTGCTAACTGAAAGACTGGCAGTTTGAACCCATTGAGAGGCATCTTGGAAGAAAGGCCTGGCAATCCACTTCCAAAAAATCACAGCCATTGTAAACTCTACGGAGTTGTCAGTCCTCCTTTGACATGCATGCACGCGGTGGGCTGCCATGAGTCAGAATCCACTCAACAGCAACGTTTTTTTTTAATTTTGTTAGACATGGTAAATGAGAACAAGAAGCTGAACCTCTGCATTCTGGAACTAATCGGGACATTAAACAATAAATGTATATCAAGTGCTCGCCACGGGTCAGACTGTGTGCCAGGCGCCAGGGAGCCAGAGAGGAACGCAAAGGGATTCCTGGCAGCCAGGGATTACATGGGGGCTGCCAGGCACTCACTCTATGGGTGAATCCTCTGCTTTGCAGAAGAGAAGGCTTCTCGTCTCACAACTGCCCTGCCACTCCTCATTAAGCCAAACAAGATTCCGTGCGTGCAGCTCTAGTTGGCACAGCATTGCCAGAGACATCAGCCCCTGAGATAAGGAGATTGGGTGCTGGTGAGGAGGAAACCAGGCTCCTACAGTCATGAGGCTTGATCATGCGTCTCTCTTCTTAGGGGGGATCCATGTGAACATAGGGCAGGGGTTTTCCCAAAAGTCAGTGGTGTGGTTCTTAGGTACGTGAGGTTTTTATTTTTTGATTGTTAGAAGCAGGTTAAGAGACCAAAAGAAGACAGACAAAAGTAGGGTCTGGTAGGCCCAGAACCGCAAGTTTGATTTAATGACAGGCGTGCCCGAGCTCTGGTGGTGCAATGGTTGGTGCTCCTCTACTGTCTGAGACGTTGGTGGTTTGGCAGCTCTGCTGGAGAAAGGCCTGGCGATCGGCTGCCCTAAAGACTACAGCCTAGAAAATCCTGTGGGGAGTTCCACTCTGTCCCTTGGGGTTGCTGTGAATCGGAATCAGCTTGATGGCACCTAACAACAGCAGCAGAATTAGAGCAGGGGCAAGTTGTTATGGTGTGTGGAGCTTGGTTTATACAAAAGTTGAATCAGCCAAAGAGGGACTATTTGGGGTCACCTGATTGGGTGCCTGCCCCCTGCTGCCCCAGCATCACATATAGGTTGTCATGTAGCCTCTGCTCTGGGCCTTCCTGGGCCTGGACATTTAGTACTTTGCCAAGTAGTCCATTCCACTTTTAGACAGGTCTACTAACTGGCATGCTCTCCATGATTTGGGGCTTGAATTTACCTTCACTGATTTACAACTCTGGTAGCATAGTGGCTAAGACACTTGACTGCTAACCAGAAGGCTGGCGGTTCAAACCCATCAGCCACTCCTCGGAAGGAAGATGGGGCAGTCTACTTCTGTAGTGATACTGCCTCGGAAACCCAAGGAGGGGTCGCTATGAGTCAGGTCCGACTTGACGGCACACAACAACAACAACAACAATAATTTACAACCAGTCCCTAGGTGGTGTTATCAGTTAATGTGCTTGGCTGCTAACTGAAAGGTTGCCGGTACAAGTCTCCCAGAGGCACCTCTGCGGCAGGACCTGGAGATCTGCTTGGCATTGCAAACCATGTGGAGCACAGTTCTGCTCTGACACAGGTGGAGTTGCTATGAGTTGGAACTGATTCAATGGCAACTGGCTGGTTGTTGGTTAGAATGTATGCCCATTGGTCTTTTCTCTGCCTTGGGGCTCTGAAGAAGGTAAACCTAGAGCCTGACTCTGGGATTTGATGTCTGGTGTTGGGCTAAGGCAGTGTGGTCTAGTGGTCCAGAGCGTGGGTCCTGCTGCCATTCTGGCTAGACCATATCTCAACTTTGACTCTGTCTGGCTTAGATCAAGCTTGTGACCATTCTGTGCCTCTGTTTCCTAGTCTATACAATAGGGATAATAGAAGTACTGACCTTGTTTTGAGAATTAAATAAGATAATACATTGTAAAGCATTTAGAACATGACCAAGCCCATAGTAAATAGCACGCTTAAACAGAGAGTCCCGTCCCACCCTAGCCTTTTCTCATGAGAAAGTTCCCCCCCAATTCTGCACTTGCACAGTGAACTTTTTACACATAATGATATATTTGTAGCGTGTTACATGTCAAATTATATTTTAAGGTTGGCTTTATCTGTTGAAGATTATGGAGGTCTTTAGAATATCAAGTCTTCATATGATGTGGTTGTAAATAACATCAGTTTATCTCTTTGAACACATTTATTTCACTCAACTCTCCAAAAACCAGCCAGCATGTGGTAAATAGTATTTTCTCTGTTTTATAGGTTAGGGTTAGGCACTTACCCAAAGCCAAACAGCTAGAAAGTGGCCAAGGCTCTACTTCTGTGAATCCCAGTTTATGTTCTTTCCAGTCTCCAGGCTATCCCCTCTACACATACTGGCTCTATAAGCCCACTGTGAACTGCCACATGGCCCCATAGCCTGTTGAAGGAGCTCTCTGCTGCCTTCCAAACACAGCCCAGAAAAGCTCTTGGTAATTCACCAACTCCAAGCCTGTGCACACCGTCTTCTTTGATCTGCAATTTAAAGGTTTTATTAAAGACCATCTTGACAGAGGGTGGTGATAGATGTAGTGGGAAGCATTTTGAAAAGTTCTTTTTTTAAAAAAATACATTTTATTGAAATATAATTTATGTACAGTGGAATACACAAAGCTAAAGTGACATGCGTCAATGCATTTTTTTTTTGCAGTGTTCTCTCCCCTCCCCTCTCCTCCCACCCTTGGTAACCAACAAAGAGTTTCCTTCCATATATAAACCTTTTCCTTGACTTTTTACAATAATGAACTATACCATATTTGTCTTGTGGTTGACTTATTTCACTCAGCATAGTGTCCTCCAGGTTCATCCACGTTATGTGGTGTTTTGCAGATTATTCATTTTGAAAAGTTCTTATAAGAATGAAATATTTAAAGAGCACATTAATCCCTGTGTTCTCAATAGTTGATCCCATGGTTAGACAAGTTAGTGTCTTGTCAACTGATACGAACTCCTGGAAACATGGGTAAAAAATTCAAATCGAGATACTTCTGTCTGTTTTGATACAACGTTGTAAGTTATGATCAATAAAAAAGTAAATGAATTTTCTGTGTCTTACCAGAGTAAGACAGCTGTCCATATTGCATACGCAGGTTATGAAGGAATCCATCAACTCAGAATTTATACTCAAGCACAGAATTTTCAAGCTCTTGAAGTGCTTGTGAAAATTTCCTTTTAGCATTCATCCGTCCTGCTAAAAAAAATGCTTTTTTTTTTTTTTTTAAATGTGATTATTGGGTATGCCACATAAATTAGGGAAAGAGCAAAAATCCCACTGCCATCAAGTGTCTTCTGACTCACAGTGACCCCCACTGGGTTTCCAAGGCTGTATGTAAATGTTGATGGAAGTAAATTGCCTCATCTTCCTTCCGCAGAACAGCTGGTGGGTTTGTACCGCCAGCCTTCTGGTTAGCAACCGGATGCCTTATCCATTACACCACCAGAGCTCCTGTGCCACATAACTTGTCTATATTTTATTAATATGAATTTGTCTGCAGTTTGCAATAATCTCAAATTGTAAACTAGTTTTTCTCGGTTAACTTCCATAATCTAAACAATCTTACATATTCTTTTTGTATTTGAAATATTACGATACGTGAAATAGCAAGAACAAAATCAAATCAGTGAAACAGCATTTTTGCATGTGCTTTTTTGAAACCCTGGCTGCCCTTCCCACTTGACCGATAATCACCGTGTGGAATCTTACGTGCTACATACTCATAAAAACGCAACCAGTACTGAATCAGTAATCTCTGGGAGGTGCCAGCAGTTAACATGCTGACTGCTAATCAAAAGGTTGACGGTTTGAGTCCAGCCAGAGATGCCTTGGGAAAAAGGCCTTTTGGTCTACATCCAAAAAGTCAGCATTAAAAACCTTATGGAGCCCAGTTCTACTCTGACCCACGTGGGGAGTCACCATGAGTCAGGATTGACTCAGTGACAACTAGGTTTCGTTTATTTCTTTATTTTGCTTATTAAATAGTGTCCATACCCCTCCCAACACACAACACACACACACACACACACACACACACACACACAGTAGCCCTAGGCAGCAGCCATGTATAAAATGTTATTTCACCGAATTTGTTATTATCTGTCCACATTTGTGTTCCATTTGCCTGGAACGTCTACTTACGTAGTGATAGAAATATCTTAGTGTTGCTTGATTTTTTTTCCCCCTTCATGCATACAAAATAAGGCTATCTTTTTAATGGTATTTTGTTCTCTTCAACATTGGGTAAATCTTTAGAAACTTTCCTCAGTATGGTGTGTGCTGTTTTGATCGGTCTGGATATATTTGCAACGTTGATGTTTCAGATAATATTTATGTTTGTAGGTACGCAATGAAATGCTTAGATAAGAAGCGGATCAAGATGAAACAAGGAGAAACATTAGCCTTAAACGAGAGGATCATGTTGTCTCTTGTCAGTACAGGAGTAAGTACTCAGTTTAAACATTACTCTTTGTGTTGTTTCTAGCAGAATAATTTCTTTGAAATGCAGGCGTTTCCCCCAGCTGATTCTAGACCCAGCCAGCTCTTGGTGGGTGAGAGTTGTACAAGAGGGCGGGGCAGATTTCACAGATAGAGTGCATTATGCGAGTCTTAGAAATCTGTTTGATTTTGGAAGTTGGAAAAGTACAGTGAATCCTGCGAAAGCCAGAACCTCTGTAAGATGGAAACCTGTCAAAAAAGGAAAACTCAAATATTTTCTGCTAAAACAAGTGGGAGAGAAGTGGGAACACTGTTCCCTGACAAAGACAGGGAAGCTGTGAGACCCACAAAAGCCGGGCAGTGCCGTTGCATCCAGGTTCTCCCAGGTTTTGCTCTGCTACCTGCCTTCCCTCCTTCCTGAGCTCTGGTAGCATGGTGGCTAAGATACTTGCCTGCTAACCAGACGGCTGGCGGTTCAAACCCACCAGCCGCTCCTCGGAAGGAAGGTTGGGCAATCCTACTTC